ATATATATTTTTTTTTAATTTTTCACAATTATTCATTCAGGCTAAATTTTTCTGTTATATTTACAACGCAAATAATACGGTTTTCTACTAAAACACCAATAATTGCAATAAAATTGTATAATCAACGTTTTTGCACGATTTCGAAATTATAACAAAAATTCGAGAAATTCTAATAGCACATTGAGCGCTCTTCAACAATTACACCAGCGCTGTGTTTTTGTGCGCTTCGCTCCAACACTTTCAACGTAATGCTCAATCAAATTGCCCGTCCGGCTTTGGCCGCCAGTTCACGTTTAATAAGCTAGCATTGAACGCCGGCGTCGCGCACATTAAACGCTTACGACGCGTTCTCCATATAAAGTAAGCAGTCACAACACACATGCACACACACACACACACTCATATGTAGGCGCTGCAAATTTACAACTGTGCAAATCAAAAATAAATTTTTTAGCTAACCAAATAATAATAATAATGAGGCATACGTAACTCTCGACTCGACAAAAGCACTCACTCTTGCTTTTTCGCACGTAAACAACTTTTGCACTCATATCTTTTAACATTTGTGGTGTTAGTAACACACTGTGGCGCTGTTTAACAGTAGCTCAAATTCTCTTCAGGCTCACCGCGTACTCTCGGTAGCAATTACTTGGTGCTGTCATTTTTACTATGCTTCTAAAATTCTATTACTAGTGTGTATTAATTTCCGATTACATGGTACGCTTAAATTGCCCATCACCCTGTAGGAAAAATTTGGTTGAACTTCCACAATTTTCGACAACATTGAACAGAATATATGAAAGTATATTCATTTTCATAGAAAATTTTATTAGTTGTTATTATTCTTATACACATCAATCCCTGTAGGAAAATTTTGTTGAACTTGTACAATTCTCGACAACATTGAACAGAATATATGAAAGTATATTCATTTTCATAGAAAATTTTATTATTTATTATTATTCTTATACACATACCCTGCAGGAAAAATTTTTTTGAACTTCTAAACATTTTGATAAACTTAAAAACATCATTTGAAAGTAAATTTAATTCCATATAAAAAGTTGTTTTTCACATATTTTACCTGCAGACTTTCGGGATAAAGTTTTATTGTAATTTTTGACAATATTATATATATTATTTAAAAGTATATTTATTTTCAAATACAATTTTTCTATTCACATGTTTTTACCTGCATGCCCTGTAAGAAAAATCTGGTGTCACTTGCTAATTTTTTGATAATAGTATATATATCTTTTAAGGTATATTTATTCCCATAGCAAACTTTATTATTAATTTGTTCACTAACATAACCTGTAGGAAATTTTTAACAAACCCATAAGTTTTTAATATGCAATTTTAATTGTTGTCAATTTTGCTTACTGCGTTTTTCTGATTTAATTTGTATTACTAGCATGTTCGCCTATTTACCCTGCAGGAAATATTTAAATGAGTTGACAATTTTTAGTATTTTTTATTTTTGTAAATTTCAATAAAAAATGAAAAATTTATTTTACGCACGTGGTGCAACGGTAGAACTTTTGTGATGTACAAAATTCTGAATACTTTAAATTTCACAGATTTTGTTTAGCTTATCAAATTTAAGCATTTCTGTTATTGTCGAAAAACCATGCCGGAAAAATTTAATTAAGCTGTTGAATTTTAAAATATTATTTTTGGTTTATTTGTTACATACATATGTATATACATACCCTGTATGTAATATTTACTTAAATTCAGATTTTTTTAATTTTTTAATATGTAAAATTTATTCGTTTTGATATTGATATATTTGCCTACATACCATGCAGAAATTTTTAAAAAGTTGTAATTTTAATTTCAAAATCAAACTAGACATGGTCTCACTTATAGTTCTTTTGCTTTTATTTAGTAATAATTATTAACATATTTTTCCACATACCCTGCAAGAAAAATTAGTACAAATTTTAAACGCGTTATCATAATTTTTTTACATATTCGCAATTATATTTTTTGAAGTCTTCATATTTATCTTTTATAATTGAAATAGTAACCTACATACATATATACCCTGCAGGAAATTTTTTAACGAAATACATAAATTTTATTATGAAATAATTACTAATTTAACATACTATCTATCAATTTTATTCCCACACAGGTGTTTTTATATATATTTTAACGGGGACCCCTGTAGGAAAAAATTCCCCAATTAAATTTCAAATACTTCTACTTACAGATGTTTTCGTTTTAATTAATTTTTTTGTATATTATATACAAATTTTTATACTGAAATAAAATTTTAAATTTTTATAATAAGAAATCTTCTGCTCTTTGTACGCTTATTCTTTTTTATGCTATTTTAGAATCTATTAAATATTAAATACGGCCATTCGTTAATTATTTGAACTTCATTTATATATTAGTTTCAGAATGGTCAATAAATTTCCTACAGGGCATTGCATAAATATTAGATTTTCGCTTATGGCAGGCGAGCAATAGTAAACCTGACGCTCTTACGGTTTAGTGGAGAAGTGTAGTCAATTATTTGCGCTACTGCTCGATTCATTGTGAAGCAGTATACATATTATATATACATACATATGTTACACGCTCATAAGCGGTCAGTGGGGCAAACATGCATAGAATGTAACGCAATGAGCAGGTGTTTCTATAAATAATCAGTAGTAATTTTGCCGGTAAGCAGTGACGTTGGATACATTTTTCATATAGGATGAAGGGAATTTGCATGAATTGCACTCTCATTTAATAAAATATCAAGAAAAATTAAGCAAGGGCTAAACGAAATAATTATTTTTTAACCAAAATTGAAATAACTTTTTCTGAGGTGAAGCGGAATTGTTCGCAGAGACTTTAGACTTTACATATGCACACAGGAAAAAGTCTACCGTCCCCAAAGCCAATTATTATTTTGCCGATAAAAATGCAAATTTAATTTGCAATGGAATTGCCACAGTGCGTCTTAGGAGAGGACAGCATTCTTTTTTTTTTTTTGTTTGGCTGAAGAAACAAGCGTTCGAAAAGTCTAAACGAAATAAAACATAATAGAAATGAAGAAATTAATAAAAATATGATTAAATCTATATTTGATTCCATTCCTATACGAATAGCCGAAGTTATTAGGAGACGGTGTTGTAATTTGTTTTTTTTATTTTTTTTCTTGTTTATTTTACCAACACTATTTCAGTTCATAAAGAATTTAAGCAAGTACACTCCTCAGAAGCCATTCACTCAAACCCCCCTGTTACCAGCGCCCCTGCTTTGAGCTCACTTCGCATGAAAACGAAATTATTCATGAATTTAAATTGATTACTACACGCTCTCACCGGCTGAGTCAGTTGGCGCATTATCAAAAACACAAAAAATGCATTTGCGTATGGCATCCAATTGCATATAAAGTATGTATGTACATATGTATGCGTGTGTATGTTTGTTTATCATAAATGTGCGCGCAATAAAAAGCGTTATGACTGTTATTCCACAATACAATATAGCAATCTAAACGTTGTGTAAGTAAAACTAATCGTCAAATTATATTTAATATTTGTGCAACATAAACAAAAGCGGTCGGCGCACGTTAAATACACTGCGAAAAAAATCCGCGACATAATTAGTGTGAGACTATTAACTTTTATTGCTGTGCGGTCACCTGTAAGGCGCATGTGTGCCTACATTCACATACATCCATATATATACATACATATACGGGCATACATTTATGCATATAAATGCTACATTACAAAACAAAAAATTGTTTACAGTTTTTCTTTCGTTTATGACTCACTGGAAAATCCCATAATATAAAAGTGTCGAACAAATTGTGCTTACGGAAATGTTATGCCAGCTCAAATTAGTGATTTTGTATTCAAGCGGCATGCATGGCGTATAACAACAAAAATTTATATGTATATATGCATATTATAGGTGTTTGGGCTGCTCTTAGTGTTTATTTATAAATAGTTTTTGACAACCGTGAATCCGTGAATGTAGAACTAGATCAAGAGTCTACTGTAAGCCCGTGATAAATGGCACTGCAAATGTATGTACGATGGATTTGGCATTGGAAGGAACATACCATATATTTTTAGAATAGCAACATTTCAGAATTTTGTCAATATCTATATATTGATAAAAGTAAGATATGTGTAAGTTCAAGTACAAATATCGGAGACCCTGTAATAAATATGAATATATTCTACTATGATCAAATTGAAAGATGAATTTTGTTCATTTCATCTCCTTCAAAATAATCCCCTCACGCTGCAATACACTTAAGCCAACGAATATTTCATCCTTTATAGCACTTAGAAAAATCTATCATTCCACGGTACTCCCATTCCAACACACACAGAAAGTTAAAAGTACTTCAGAGAACTTTCCTCTCCAAGAATGCGCATGCTTCCGCACCATATAGTAGTACGCGTATTATAAGTGTCTTATAGAGCGCTGGTTTGGTTTTTCAAGAGTGTGAATTCGTTGTTCATAATTATGCTAAATTAAAAAAGACGAATTTTTTCACTACCTAAAACTGTCAACGGTAGCGTGATCTCCGAATCTTTGAGTTCCTTCATTTTATGTTAGGAGGTACCTTGTCTTGCCCTCGTTCACTACTAGACCCATATTTTTCGCAACTGTTTCTAAGCTTGAGAAATCTAAGTCTATGTCGGCTTAAATGCCACTGAGGACTGGTGACTCTTATAAAAGATAGTGCCAATACGGTTAAGGTCTGCATTACGGAATCTCAAGTATGATATGGAATAAATCACT